CCTAATCCTTTTCCACCTTTACCACGACCAGTCATTATTATTCAATTAAAAGTTACAAAAAAATTACAAATTAAATTTGATAAATTTACAACACAACTGAATGTTGATTACTGAACTAAATTCTTCGATTTTCCTCTTATATTTATGCATATTATTTCTTTCAATACACACACATTTTTCTTTTCAATTATTTACTACTACTACAACTCCAAAATACAACTACTATTTTATGACTTCAGTATCAGTTCCTAGTCCTACAGTCTATTGGCTAACCAAACCCAACACTTTTGCAAAGGCGGTTTGCATTCGCGCCTTTTTTCCTTTAATTAAAGTGCACTCAGCACTATGCAAATTTATACATTTCTTCGATAATAATTAATATATTTTACTTTTTTTACTACATTTTAAATCCCAATTCTATTCTAAACATTAAAAAATAATAGAATTTATTGTAAATTTTATATAAATTGTATTTGGATTTGTGTTTGTGTTTGGGTTTGTGTTTGTGAAGAAATCGAGAAAACGTATTTGTATTGGTTTTTCTCATGAATACTATAAATATTTGTATGCGATGTGGTACATAAAATTATTCTTTTTGATTAGTGAAGTGAAGTAGTACACATCGCAATCGTATTCGTATTGTAATTTTTCCGGTTTCATTCTGAATAAGATATTGAATTGAAAAATGGCTCGTACAAAGCAGACAGCCCGTAAATCTACTGGTGGTAAAGCACCACGTAAACAGCTAGCAACTAAAGCAGCAAGAAAAAGTGCACCAGCAACTGGAGGAGTAAAAAAACCTCATCGTTACAGACCAGGTACAGTTGCTCTTCGTGAAATTAGACGTTATCAAAAGAGCACTGAATTATTAATTCGCAAATTACCATTTCAACGTTTAGTTCGTGAAATTGCTCAAGATTTCAAAACTGATTTACGCTTCCAAAGTTCCGCTGTAATGGCTTTACAAGAAGCTAGTGAAGCTTATTTAGTTGGTTTATTTGAAGATACAAATTTGTGCGCTATTCATGCTAAAAGAGTTACAATTATGCCTAAAGATATTCAATTGGCCCGTCGTATTCGTGGTGAACGTGCTTAATTATTATATTTAAATATTTTATTTAAAAATCAAACGGTCTTTTTCAAGACCATAAAATTTTGAAAAAAAAGTAAATTTAAACCAATTTGTCTATAAATAATGAGCCTTATTCTAGTTGTCGAAGTAGAGCGACGATTGTCGTTACGACTTGAATTTGATATTCTAAGCGATGATCGCAGTGACACTTGTCGGGGAATAGCGGCAAAATGTATTTCAGCCTTATTCCAGTTGTTGTTCTTTTGCGAAATATGTAGTGAAACGACGTTTTTTGTCGAAAAGTATTTAACAAGTGATAAGCAAGAAAGATACACCAAAAATCCAAATTAAAACAACAATTTAACAAAATCATAAAAAAAATCTACATAAATTAAGTCATAAAATATATACATAATTTAATTTTTGTTTTTAGCGTGAAAGTATTTATAAATTTGAAAAATTGGAAATTGAAGAATCGTTTTTTTCCACGAATATATTCAGTAAATATTGTAATAGTTTGAATAAAATAAAATGTTTGCAACTAACTTACTTGAAAAAATTAAAATTATTGTAATGGCTTACACTCCATTTGGCAAATCCAATGGATTAGAGCTGTCGCTAATCTAAAATCTTTTGATCCTTAATTGTCGTTTTTTTTAAATTTCATCACTACCGGAATGAGCTGAACCCGTAAACCATAATGCAAATGACATTTTTTATTATTTAAAAATATATACACTGAAAATTTTTTTAGTTTTTTACTCGTTGAAATTTCTTTAGAAAATAAAACGCATTGAGAGTGAAACGTAAGTGACACGACAATTAGAATAAGGCTCAGTATAGAATGCATAATAAATCAATCAAAAGTTATAACAAAAATAATCTCATTCAATACTTTTCTTTAAAATTCAATTTAAAAATTCAGCATTTTTTTCATTTTACTCTTTAACTAAAATATTGTTAGCCTTAATAAAGGCTTTTTTATATACAGTATACGGATGTACTTACATTCATATACATCATTATTTAAATTCAGATGGTAAAAGTACTTTATTTTTTTCCTGCAGGTTTTTTGGCAACTGCTTTTTTTGCTCCAACTGATGCTTTTTTTGGTTTGGGAGCTTTAGGTTTTTTTACATCACTTTTAGATGCTTTTGTAGATTTTTGTTTTGGTGACTTACTTTTTACTGTTCCAGCTTTTTTGGCTGCTTTTGCAGCAGATTTTTCAGATTTTTTCTTTTCACTAGATACCTTTTTTGCCGCAGATTTCTTTTTATCTCCAGAAGCAGATTTTTTTGCTGTTGTTGCACTAGTAGCTTTTTTAGGTTTTTTCTCTCCAGCTGCTTTTACCTTCTTAACTTTTGGTTTAGGTTTAGATTCCTTTTTAGGTTTGGTTGCTGCAGCCGATAATTTAAATGATCCAGATGCACCTTTGCCTTTCGTTTGGATATATTTTCCATTTTCAACAGATGATTTTAAATGTTTTTTTATAAATGGAGCCAATTTATCTGCATCAACTTTATAATTTGCAGCTAAATATTTTTTTATTGCTAATAATGATGAGCCACCACGTTCTTTTAGTGTTTTAATTGCAGCATCTACCATTTGAGATGTTGGTGGATGAGTAGGTTTAGCTTTTGGCTTTTTAACTCCACTTGAAGCTTTCTTAGCCGCTTTTTTTGCTTCTACTGGTGCTGCTGGAGAAACTGCTACTTCTGCGTTTTCGGCCATATTTTTAAATCCAAAAAATTACTTTTACTTTATAATTTTAAAATAAAAATTCAAATTCTTATAAAATTACAACTTTTAAATATATGTATGAGTTTCACTTTGAAGTATATTTTATTCTTGTTATACGAGTATTTATTATTTTGTTTGCTTGCTACACAAATACAAAATATTGGAAATTTTGTTCGCAACAAAAATTATAGCCTTAAAAAACATGAGAATTACATAGAGTCGATATACAAATATTTTTACTATAATTTTAAAACATCCTTTAAATTTATTTGATACCCTATCACTATTTTTACTATTTTTCTCATTAAAGTCAAACAATTCTGAAAAATATATTTCAGTTTTAAAATTTACATATTATGTAATTATTAAAAATATATAAAATTTGCAAAATATATTTGAATTAATATGAAAATTTCACTTAAATTTACTCAAAGTCCTTCGTAATTTTAACTTCTTATGAATATTATTATTAAATATTAGTATTATTTAATTTTATATAAGTATTTTAAAACATTTATAATATTTTTCAAATTTATAAAATTCATTTAAAACACAATTGTCTCATAAAAATATAATAATAAATAGAAAAATCTTAGTTAAATGATGATTATTCCAAGCAATAATTTCTAAATTGGAATTTTTCTTCTAATTAAATTTTAAAATATTTATTAAGTTTTTTTATTCTTTTAAGCAATTAATCTGTTTATTTTTGTTATAATTTTTTAAATATTATTTGAAAAACATATATTTAAATAATTTTACAAAATAAATATATAAAATATAAATTAATAAAAAAGGAAATAAGTATGCATGTACATATTGTATATGCTTTTGTTCTATAAGTTACAAAAATTCTTTTTTTTTTTTTTAATAAAACAACACTAATAATACAATATTAATAATAAAATCTTATTTTAAGTGGATTTTATATAAAATCAAATATTAAGTTTTAATAGAAAATTAATATTCTAAAGTATTAAATCAAGGTGGATAAATATACATGGGTATATAATGGTTTTATACGTATATAATAAGGGCTACTAAAATGAAATCAATCATAAAACATCAAAATTTAAGATAATTAAGATATAAGATTAAGTACATTGTTGTGTAATAAATTATGAACATGTTTTTATGTATATATATATATATATATATATGCGTATGAATGTTATATGGTATTTAAAAATCACAAATTTTGTTTACAAGATACAGATTTTATAGCATACAAGTATTCAATATATGTAGATCTTGTTATTAAATTGAAAATTATAGCAATTTGTTGAAATTTGACTTCCACAATTAAGTCTGGCCGATAGGGAGAAATATAAATTAGTGCTAAAGAAATCATTTGTACACATTTAATCAAATAAGACACTATTTTATATATAAAGATACATATATCATAAACAACATTAAGTAGAATTTTTAGTATAAGCATATAGGTATACACGTATAAATTTAAAAAAAAGTATCACTCTTAATAAATAATTATACATAATATTAATATGAATATAAATGTACTCATATGATTTTGAAAAATCATTTGTACAAATAAATAAGTTTGTACAGAACTTCTAGAATACAAAATAACCATAATGATACTCGTAATATGGACTCGTATACATATTATACATAAAAGCCTAAACAAATGAATTGCAAAATATGAAATACTACATGAAAATAGATTAAATACAATATGGTCAGATAAAATTATATAATAACTAAAGATTTGAGAAAAAAATTAAAAGATATTAGTTAATTTAAGTGATATTGACTTGGAAGATCATTAATAACTACTAAAGTTAAGTAACAATAATTTTATTGATGAATTTATAAAAACATCATTATGCATAAGTTTAAAATATATATTTTTTTAATATAGTTGTACTAAGATACAAGCTATTATTAGTATTTGGGTATACATATTATACTACCCTCTATCATGTGTGTATACGTGTGTTTTAATATTTATAAAAATTTTAAACAGATTAAAAAACGTATGTATGTACAAGGTTACATACATTTTAAAATATCTATATGTCATTTGGTATTTAAAATTTATTTGAGAAAAAATCTGTAATAAATACCTATGTATATATACAACTATGTAGTTGATTTTATATTCTTTACTCTTAAAATAGTATTTTATAGTCCTTAAAAGGACTTTTTTTTAATTTTAAGCGAATATTATTTGCGTACGGTCAAATTTATTTATTTTGAACTTGTATATTTAGTAACAGCTTTTGTACCTTCACTTACAGCATGTTTTGCTAGTTCGCCAGGTAATAATAATCTAACAGCAGTTTGAATTTCACGACTAGTTATTGTTGATCGTTTATTGTAATGTGCTAAACGAGAAGCTTCTGCTGCGATTCTTTCAAATATATCATTTACGAAACTGTTCATGATACTCATAGCTTTTGAAGAAATTCCAGTATCTGGATGAACTTGCTTCAAAACTTTGTAAATGTAAATAGCATAACTTTCCTTACGTTTACGTTTCTTTTTCTTATCACTTTTCGAAATGTTTTTTTGAGCTTTGCCAGCTTTTTTTGCTGCTTTTCCGCTTGTTTTTGGTGGCATTTTTTACTATCCTTCTGCTTTTGCTTTTACTACAAAAATTTCTTCAATTTCAATTCAATACAATACAAATATGAATACGAATTTAGATGTAGATGTAGATGTAGAATACACAATTGATACCTATTTCTGGAATACAACAATATTTATGAATTTTGCTTTCTCCCCTCCAATAAAAATATTGACGCACATTTTACGTTTGAAATTTTTTGCACCGTGTTTTAGATGAAAATAAAAAGCATAAATATTATGATATTTTCCATATAAAACATTAGTATTTGAATTGATCTGATTCAAATTTTCTGTGTTTATTGCTATAATCTACGATTGTGTACAGTACAAGTACAGTACAGATTATTAAATATTTTAAGTTGTATCAAATAAAAAAAAAAAGAAATCATTAAAAATGTCAGGACGTGGTAAAGGTGGAAAAGTTAAAGGAAAAGCAAAATCTCGTTCTAATCGTGCTGGATTACAATTTCCAGTTGGTCGTATCCATCGTTTATTAAGAAAAGGTAATTATGCCGAACGTGTTGGCGCTGGAGCTCCTGTTTATTTAGCAGCTGTAATGGAATATTTAGCTGCTGAAGTTCTTGAATTGGCTGGTAATGCTGCAAGAGATAATAAAAAAACCAGAATTATTCCAAGACATCTTCAATTAGCCATCCGAAACGATGAGGAATTGAACAAATTGTTGTCGGGTGTTACAATTGCTCAAGGTGGTGTATTACCAAACATTCAAGCTGTATTATTACCAAAGAAAACTGAAAAGAAAGCCTAAATAACCTCAACGAAATTAACAATTTTACTATTTAAAACTAAAATTTAATATAGAAAAAAAATAAAACGTCTTTTTCAAGACGACAAAAAATTTATTAAAAGAGAAATTTTAAAATTTAATATCTTTCAATTACGAATTACGAGTATCATATTGCATACATAAACAACTCAATTCAATATTCGATACAAATAAATATTTCATTTTTTCAATTTAAAAATTAAATCATTTTAATTAAAATGAACCGAATGAATGAAAAAATATTTTTAATATTTTCTAATGAATCTATGAAATCTATGAAAATTTGAAATGAAAATTATTTTAAATATTTTTTTAAAAATTTATGATCTATTAAATAATAATTTTATTTTATTTTATCTATATTATTCATTCTTTGATAAAATTAAAAATATGATTAAAGTATAAAAATTCAATTTTTTAATACGAAAAAAATTTTTCGCATTCATTTAAAATGAATTTATTATATTATTAATATTATGGAATTTAATGGAAGGGAAGCTTCATTTTAAAATACTCTTTTTATATTTTTTGATGGCCTTGAAAAAGGCCTTTTGTATATAAATATTAAAATAATTTAACCTCCAAAACCATATAGAGTACGGCCTTGTCTTTTCAATGCATAAACAACATCCATTGCAGTTACAGTCTTTCTTTTAGCATGTTCTGTATATGTAACAGCATCTCTTATAACATTTTCTAAGAAAACTTTAAGTACACCTCGTGTTTCTTCATATATCAATCCTGATATACGTTTCACACCGCCACGACGAGCTAATCTTCGAATAGCTGGTTTTGTAATACCTTGGATATTATCACGCAAAACCTTACGATGACGTTTTGCACCACCTTTTCCTAATCCTTTTCCACCTTTACCACGACCAGTCATTATTATTCAATTAAAAGTTACAAAAAAATTACAAATTAAATTTGATAAATTTACAACACAACTGAATGTTGATTACTGAACTAAATTCTTCGATTTTCCTCTTATATTTATGCATATTATTTCTTTCAATACACACACATTTTTCTTTTCAATTATTTACTACTACTACAACTCCAAAATACAACTACTATTTTATGACTTCAGTATCAGTTCCTAGTCCTACAGTCTATTGGCTAACCAAACCCAACACTTTTGCAAAGGCGGTTTGCATTCGCGCCTTTTTTCCTTTAATTAAAGTGCACTCAGCACTATGCAAATTTATACATTTCTTCGATAATAATTAATATATTTTACTTTTTTTACTACATTTTAAATCCCAATTCTATTCTAAACATTAAAAAATAATAGAATTTATTGTAAATTTTATATAAATTGTATTTGGATTTGTGTTTGTGTTTGGGTTTGTGTTTGTGAAGAAATCGAGAAAACGTATTTGTATTGGTTTTTCTCATGAATACTATAAATATTTGTATGCGATGTGGTACATAAAATTATTCTTTTTGATTAGTGAAGTGAAGTAGTACACATCGCAATCGTATTCGTATTGTAATTTTTCCGGTTTCATTCTGAATAAGATATTGAATTGAAAAATGGCTCGTACAAAGCAGACAGCCCGTAAATCTACTGGTGGTAAAGCACCACGTAAACAGCTAGCAACTAAAGCAGCAAGAAAAAGTGCACCAGCAACTGGAGGAGTAAAAAAACCTCATCGTTACAGACCAGGTACAGTTGCTCTTCGTGAAATTAGACGTTATCAAAAGAGCACTGAATTATTAATTCGCAAATTACCATTTCAACGTTTAGTTCGTGAAATTGCTCAAGATTTCAAAACTGATTTACGCTTCCAAAGTTCCGCTGTAATGGCTTTACAAGAAGCTAGTGAAGCTTATTTAGTTGGTTTATTTGAAGATACAAATTTGTGCGCTATTCATGCTAAAAGAGTTACAATTATGCCTAAAGATATTCAATTGGCCCGTCGTATTCGTGGTGAACGTGCTTAATTATTATATTTAAATATTTTATTTAAAAATCAAACGGTCTTTTTCAAGACCATAAAATTTTGAAAAAAAAGTAAATTTAAACCAATTTGTCTATAAATAATGAGCCTTATTCTAGTTGTCGAAGTAGAGCGACGATTGTCGTTACGACTTGAATTTGATATTCTAAGCGATGATCGCAGTGACACTTGTCGGGGAATAGCGGCAAAATGTATTTCAGCCTTATTCCAGTTGTTGTTCTTTTGCGAAATATGTAGTGAAACGACGTTTTTTGTCGAAAAGTATTTAACAAGTGATAAGCAAGAAAGATACACCAAAAATCCAAATTAAAACAACAATTTAACAAAATCATAAAAAAAATCTACATAAATTAAGTCATAAAATATATACATAATTTAATTTTTGTTTTTAGCGTGAAAGTATTTATAAATTTGAAAAATTGGAAATTGAAGAATCGTTTTTTTCCACGAATATATTCAGTAAATATTGTAATAGTTTGAATAAAATAAAATGTTTGCAACTAACTTACTTGAAAAAATTAAAATTATTGTAATGGCTTACACTCCATTTGGCAAATCCAATGGATTAGAGCTGTCGCTAATCTAAAATCTTTTGATCCTTAATTGTCGTTTTTTTTAAATTTCATCACTACCGGAATGAGCTGAACCCGTAAACCATAATGCAAATGACATTTTTTATTATTTAAAAATATATACACTGAAAATTTTTTTAGTTTTTTACTCGTTGAAATTTCTTTAGAAAATAAAACGCATTGAGAGTGAAACGTAAGTGACACGACAATTAGAATAAGGCTCAGTATAGAATGCATAATAAATCAATCAAAAGTTATAACAAAAATAATCTCATTCAATACTTTTCTTTAAAATTCAATTTAAAAATTCAGCATTTTTTTCATTTTACTCTTTAACTAAAATATTGTTAGCCTTAATAAAGGCTTTTTTATATACAGTATACGGATGTACTTACATTCATATACATCATTATTTAAATTCAGATGGTAAAAGTACTTTATTTTTTTCCTGCAGGTTTTTTGGCAACTGCTTTTTTTGCTCCAACTGATGCTTTTTTTGGTTTGGGAGCTTTAGGTTTTTTTACATCACTTTTAGATGCTTTTGTAGATTTTTGTTTTGGTGACTTACTTTTTACTGTTCCAGCTTTTTTGGCTGCTTTTGCAGCAGATTTTTCAGATTTTTTCTTTTCACTAGATACCTTTTTTGCCGCAGATTTCTTTTTATCTCCAGAAGCAGATTTTTTTGCTGTTGTTGCACTAGTAGCTTTTTTAGGTTTTTTCTCTCCAGCTGCTTTTACCTTCTTAACTTTTGGTTTAGGTTTAGATTCCTTTTTAGGTTTGGTTGCTGCAGCCGATAATTTAAATGATCCAGATGCACCTTTGCCTTTCGTTTGGATATATTTTCCATTTTCAACAGATGATTTTAAATGTTTTTTTATAAATGGAGCCAATTTATCTGCATCAACTTTATAATTTGCAGCTAAATATTTTTTTATTGCTAATAATGATGAGCCACCACGTTCTTTTAGTGTTTTAATTGCAGCATCTACCATTTGAGATGTTGGTGGATGAGTAGGTTTAGCTTTTGGCTTTTTAACTCCACTTGAAGCTTTCTTAGCCGCTTTTTTTGCTTCTACTGGTGCTGCTGGAGAAACTGCTACTTCTGCGTTTTCGGCCATATTTTTAAATCCAAAAAATTACTTTTACTTTATAATTTTAAAATAAAAATTCAAATTCTTATAAAATTACAACTTTTAAATATATGTATGAGTTTCACTTTGAAGTATATTTTATTCTTGTTATACGAGTATTTATTATTTTGTTTGCTTGCTACACAAATACAAAATATTGGAAATTTTGTTCGCAACAAAAATTATAGCCTTAAAAAACATGAGAATTACATAGAGTCGATATACAAATATTTTTACTATAATTTTAAAACATCCTTTAAATTTATTTGATACCCTATCACTATTTTTACTATTTTTCTCATTAAAGTCAAACAATTCTGAAAAATATATTTCAGTTTTAAAATTTACATATTATGTAATTATTAAAAATATATAAAATTTGCAAAATATATTTGAATTAATATGAAAATTTCACTTAAATTTACTCAAAGTCCTTCGTAATTTTAACTTCTTATGAATATTATTATTAAATATTAGTATTATTTAATTTTATATAAGTATTTTAAAACATTTATAATATTTTTCAAATTTATAAAATTCATTTAAAACACAATTGTCTCATAAAAATATAATAATAAATAGAAAAATCTTAGTTAAATGATGATTATTCCAAGCAATAATTTCTAAATTGGAATTTTTCTTCTAATTAAATTTTAAAATATTTATTAAGTTTTTTTATTCTTTTAAGCAATTAATCTGTTTATTTTTGTTATAATTTTTTAAATATTATTTGAAAAACATATATTTAAATAATTTTACAAAATAAATATATAAAATATAAATTAATAAAAAAGGAAATAAGTATGCATGTACATATTGTATATGCTTTTGTTCTATAAGTTACAAAAATTCTTTTTTTTTTTTTTAATAAAACAACACTAATAATACAATATTAATAATAAAATCTTATTTTAAGTGGATTTTATATAAAATCAAATATTAAGTTTTAATAGAAAATTAATATTCTAAAGTATTAAATCAAGGTGGATAAATATACATGGGTATATAATGGTTTTATACGTATATAATAAGGGCTACTAAAATGAAATCAATCATAAAACATCAAAATTTAAGATAATTAAGATATAAGATTAAGTACATTGTTGTGTAATAAATTATGAACATGTTTTTATGTATATATATATATATATATATATGCGTATGAATGTTATATGGTATTTAAAAATCACAAATTTTGTTTACAAGATACAGATTTTATAGCATACAAGTATTCAATATATGTAGATCTTGTTATTAAATTGAAAATTATAGCAATTTGTTGAAATTTGACTTCCACAATTAAGTCTGGCCGATAGGGAGAAATATAAATTAGTGCTAAAGAAATCATTTGTACACATTTAATCAAATAAGACACTATTTTATATATAAAGATATATCATAAACAACATTAAGTAGAATTTTTAGTATAAGCATATAGGTATACACGTATAAATTTAAAAAAAAGTATCACTCTTAATAAATAATTATACATAATATTAATATGAATATAAATGTACTCATATGATTTTGAAAAATCATTTGTACAAATAAATAAGTTTGTACAGAACTTCTAGAATACAAAATAAGCATAATGATACTCGTAATATGGACTCGTATACATATTATACATAAAAGCCTAAACAAATGAATTACAAAATATGAAATACTACATGAAAATAGATTAAATACAATATGGTCAGATAAAATTATATAACTAAAGATTTGAGAAGAAAATTAAAAGATATTAGTTAATTTAAGTGATATTGACTTGGAAGATCATTAATAACTACTAAAGTTAAGTAACGATAATTTTATTGATGAATTTATAAAAACATCAATATGTATAAGTTTAAAATATATATTTTTTTAATATAGTTGTACTAAATACAAGCTATTATTAGTATTTAGGTATACATATTATACTACCCTCCATCATGTGTGTATACGTGTGTTTTAATATTTATAAAAATTTTAAACAGATTAAAAAACGTATGTATGTACAAGGTTACATACATTTTAAAATATCTATATGTCATTTGGTATTTAAAATTTATTTGAGAAAAAATCTGTAATAAATACCTATGTATATATACAACTATGTAGTTGATTTTATATTTTCTTTACTCTTAAAATAGTATTTTATAGTCCTTAAAAGGACTTTTTTTTAATTTTAAGCGAATATTATTTGCGTACGGTCAAATTTATTTATTTTGAACTTGTATATTTAGTAACAGCTTTTGTACCTTCACTTACAGCATGTTTTGCTAGTTCGCCAGGTAATAATAATCTAACAGCAGTTTGAATTTCACGACTAGTTATTGTTGATCGTTTATTGTAATGTGCTAAACGAGAAGCTTCTGCTGCGATTCTTTCAAATATATCATTTACGAAACTGTTCATGATACTCATAGCTTTTGAAGAAATTCCAGTATCTGGATGAACTTGCTTCAAAACTTTGTAAATGTAAATAGCATAACTTTCCTTACGTTTACGTTTCTTTTTCTTATCACTTTTCGAAATGTTTTTTTGAGCTTTGCCAGCTTTTTTTGCTGCTTTTCCGCTTGTTTTTGGTGGCATTTTTTACTATCCTTCTGCTTTTGCTTTTACTACAAAAATTTCTTCAATTTCAATTCAATACAATACAAATATGAATACGAATTTAGATGTAGATGTAGATGTAGAATACACAATTGATACCTATTTCTGGAATACAACAATATTTATGAATTTTGCTTTCTCCCCTCCAATAAAAATATTGACGCACATTTTACGTTTGAAATTTTTTGCACCGTGTTTTAGATGAAAATAAAAAGCATAAATATTATGATATTTTCCATATAAAACATTAGTATTTGAATTGATCTGATTCAAATTTTCTGTGTTTATTGCTATAATCTACGATTGTGTACAGTACAAGTACAGTACAGATTATTAAATATTTTAAGTTGTATCAAATAAAAAAAAAAAGAAATCATTAAAAATGTCAGGACGTGGTAAAGGTGGAAAAGTTAAAGGAAAAGCAAAATCTCGTTCTAATCGTGCTGGATTACAATTTCCAGTTGGTCGTATCCATCGTTTATTAAGAAAAGGTAATTATGCCGAACGTGTTGGCGCTGGAGCTCCTGTTTATTTAGCAGCTGTAATGGAATATTTAGCTGCTGAAGTTCTTGAATTGGCTGGTAATGCTGCAAGAGATAATAAAAAAACCAGAATTATTCCAAGACATCTTCAATTAGCCATCCGAAACGATGAGGAATTGAACAAATTGTTGTCGGGTGTTACAATTGCTCAAGGTGGTGTATTACCAAACATTCAAGCTGTATTATTACCAAAGAAAACTGAAAAGAAAGCCTAAATAACCTCAACGAAATTAACAATTTTACTATTTAAAACTAAAATTTAATATAGAAAAAAAATAAAACGTCTTTTTCAAGACGACAAAAAATTTATTAAAAGAGAAATTTTAAAATTTAATATCTTTCAATTACGAATTACGAGTATCATATTGCATACATAACAACTCAATTCAATATTCGATACAAATAAATATTTCATTTTTTCAATTTAAAAATCATTTTAATTAAAATGAACCGAATTATTTTTAATATTATTCTAATGAAGAATCTATGAAATCTATGAAAATTCGAAATGAAAATTATTTTAAATATTTTTTTAAAAAATTTATGATCTATTAAATAATAATTTTATTTTATTTTATCTATATTATTCATTCTTTGATAAAATTAAAAATATGATTAAAGTATAAAAATTCAATTTTTTAATACGAAAAAAATTTTTCGCATTCATTTAAAATGAATTTATTATATTATTAATATTATGGAATTTAATGGAAGAGAAGCTTCATTTTAAAATACTCTTTTTATATTTTTTGATGGCCTTGAAAAAGGCCTTTTGTATATAAATATTAAAATAATTTAACCTCCAAAACCATATAGAGTACGGCCTTGTCTTTTCAATGCATAAACAACATCCATTGCAGTTACAGTCTTTCTTTTAGCATGTTCTGTATATGTAACAGCATCTCTTATAACATTTTCTAAGAAAACTTTAAGTACACCTCGTGTTTCTTCATATATCAATCCTGATATACGTTTCACACCGCCACGACGAGCTAATCTTCGAATAGCTGGTTTTGTAATACCTTGGATATTATCACGCAAAACCTTACGATGACGTTTTGCACCACCTTTTCCTAATCCTTTTCCACCTTTACCACGACCAGTCATTATTATTCAATTAAAAGTTACAAAAAAATTACAAATTAAATTTGATAAATTTACAACACAACTGAATGTTGATTACTGAACTAAATTCTTCGATTTTCCTCTTATATTTATGCATATTATTTCTTTCAATACACACACATTTTTCTTTTCAATTATTTACTACTACTACAACTCCAAAATACAACTACTATTTTATGACTTCAGTATCAGTTCCTAGTCCTACAGTCTATTGGCTAACCAAACCCAACACTTTTGCAAAGGCGGTTTGCGTTCGCGCCTTTTTTCCTTTAATTAAAGTGCACTCAGCACTATGCAAATTTATACATTTCTTCGATAATAATTAATATATTTTACTTTTTTTACTACATTTTAAATCCCAATTCTATTCTAAACATTAAAAAATAATAGAATTTATTGTAAATTTTATATAAATTGTATTTGGATTTGTGTTTGTGTTTGGGTTTGTGTTTGTGAAGAAATCGAGAAAACGTATTTGTATTGGTTTTTCTCATGAATACTATAAATATTTGTATGCGATGTGGTACATAAAATTATTCTTTTTGATTAGTGAAGTGAAGTAGTACACATCGTAATCGTATTCGTATTGTAATTTTTCCGGTTTCATTCTGAATAAGATATTGAATTGAAAAATGGCTCGTACAAAGCAAACAGCCCGTAAATCTACTGGTGGTAAAGCACCACGTAAACAGCTAGCAACTAAAGCAGCAAGAAAAAGTGCACCAGCAACTGGAGGAGTAAAAAAACCTCATCGTTACAGACCAGGTACAGTTGCTCTTCGTGAAATTAGACGTTATCAAAAGAGCACTGAATTATTAATTCGGAAATTACCATTTCAACGTTTAGTTCGTGAAATTGCTCAAGATTTCAAAACTGATTTACGCTTCCAAAGTTCCGCTGTAATGGCTTTACAAGAAGCTAGTGAAGCTTATTTAGTTGGTTTATTTGAAGATACAAATTTGTGCGCTATTCATGCTAAAAGAGTTACAATTATGCCTAAAGATATTCAATTGGCCCGTCGTATTCGTGGTGAACGTGCTTAATTATTATATTTAAATATTTTATTTAAAAATCAAACGGTCTTTTTCAAGACCATAAAATTTTGAAAAAAAAGTAAATTTAAACCAATTTGTCTATAAATAATGAGCCTTATTCTAGTTGTCGAAGTAGAGCGACGATTGTCGTTACGACTTGAATTTGATATTCTAAGCGATGATCGCAGTGACACTTGTCGGGGAATAGCGGCAAAATGTATTTCAGCCTTATTCCAGTTGTTGTTCTTTTGCGAAATATGTAGTGAAACGACGTTTTTTGTCGAAAAGTATTTAACAAGTGATAAGCAAGAAAGATACACCAAAAATCCAAATTAAAACAACAATTTAACAAAATCATAAAAAAAATCTACATAAATTAAGTCATAAAATATATACATAATTTAATTTTTGTTTTTAGCGTGAAAGTATTTATAAATTTGAAAAATTGGAAATTGAAGAATCGTTTTTTTCCACGAATATATTCAGTAAATATTGTAATAGTTTGAATAAAATAAAATGTTTGCAACTAACTTACTTGAAAAAATTAAAATTATTGTAATGGCTTACACTCCATTTGGCAAATCCAATGGATTAGAGCTGTCGCTAATCTAAAATCTTTTGATCCTTAATTGTCGTTTTTTTTAAATTTCATCACTACCGGAATGAGCTGAACCCGTAAACCATAATGCAAATGACATTTTTTATTATTTAAAAATATATACACTGAAAATTTTTTTAGTTTTTTACTCGTTGAAATTTCTTTAGAAAATAAAACGCATTGAGAGTGAAACGTAAGTGACACGACAATTAGAATAAGGCTCAGTATAGAATGCATAATAAATCAATCAAAAGTTATAACAAAAATAATCTCATTCAATACTTTTCTTTAAAATTCAATTTAAAAATTCAGCATTTTTTTCATTTTACTCTTTAACTAAAATATTGTTAGCCTTAATAAAGGCTTTTTTATATACAGTATACGGATGTACTTACATTCATATACATCATTATTTAAATTCAGATGGTAAAAGTACTTTATTTTTTTCCTGCAGGTTTTTTGGCAACTGCTTTTTTTGCTCCAACTGATGCTTTTTTTGGTTTGGGAGCTTTAGGTTTTTTTACATCACTTTTAGATGCTTTTGTAGATTTTTGTTTTGGTGACTTACTTTTTACTGTTCCAGCTTTTTTGGCTGCTTTTGCAGCAGATTTTTCAGATTTTTTCTTTTCACTAGATACCTTTTTTGCCGCAGATTTCTTTTTATCTCCAGAAGCAGATTTTTTTGCTGTTGTTGCACTAGTAGCTTTTTTAGGTTTTTTCTCTCCAGCTGCTTTTACCTTCTTAACTTTTGGTTTAGGTTTAGATTCCTTTTTAGGTTTGGTTGCTGCAGCCGATAATTTAAATGATCCAGATGCACCTTTGCCTTTCGTTTGGATATATTTTCCATTTTCAACAGATGATTTTAAATGTTTTTTTATAAATGGAGCCAATTTATCTGCATCAACTTTATAATTTGCAGCTAAATATTTTTTTATTGCTAATAATGATGAGCCACCACGTTCTTTTAGTGTTTTAATTGCAGCATCTACCATTTGAGATGTTGGTGGATGAGTAGGTTTAGCTTTTGGCTTTTTAACTCCACTTGAAGCTTTCTTAGCCGCTTTTTTTGCTTCTACTGGTGCTGCTGGAGAAACTGCTACTTCTGCGTTTTCGGCCATATTTTTAAATCCAAAAAATTACTTTTACTTTATAATTTTAAAATAAAAATTCAAATTCTTATAAAATTACAACTTTTAAATATATGTATGAGTTTCACTTTGAAGTATATTTTATTCTTGTTATACGAGTATTTATTATTTTGTTTGCTTGCTACACAAATACAAAATATTGGAAATTTTGTTCGCAACAAAAATTATAGCCTTAAAAAACATGAGAATTACATAGAGTCGATATACAAATATTTTTACTATAATTTTAAAACATCCTTTAAATTTATTTGATACCCTATCACTATTTTTACTATTTTTCTCATTAAAGTCAAACAATTCTGAAAAATATATTTCAGTTTTAAAATTTACATATTATGTAATTATTAAAAATATATAAAATTTGCAAAATATATTTGAATTAATATGAAAATTTCACTTAAATTTACTCAAAGTCCTTCGTAATTTTAACTTCTTATGAATATTATTATTAAATATTAGTATTATTTAATTTTATATAAGTATTTTAAAACATTTATAATATTTTTCAAATTTATAAAATTCATTTAAAACACAATTGTCTCATAAAAATATAATAATAAATAGAAAAATCTTAGTTAAATGATGATTATTCCAAGCAATAATTTCTAAATTGGAATTTTTCTTCTAATTAAATTTTAAAATATTTATTAAGTTTTTTTATTCTTTTAAGCAATTAATCTGTTTATTTTTGTTATAATTTTTTAAATATTATTTGAAAAACATATATTTAAATAATTTTACAAAATAAATATATAAAATATAAATTAATAAAAAAGGAAATAAGTATGCATGTACATATTGTATATGCTTTTGTTCTATAAGTTACAAAAATTCTTTTTTTTTTTTTTAATAAAACAACACTAATAATACAATATTAATAATAAAATCTTATTTTAAGTGGATTTTATATAAAATCAAATATTAAGTTTTAATAGAAAATTAATATTCTAAAGTATTAAATCAAGGTGGATAAATATACATGGGTATATAATGGTTTTATACGTATATAATAAGGGCTACTAAAATGAAATCAATCATAAAACATCAAAATTTAAGATAATTAAGATATAAGATTAAGTACATTGTTGTGTAATAAATTATGAACATGTTTTTATGTATATATATATATATATATATATGCGTATGAATGTTATATGGTATTTAAAAATCACAAATTTTGTTTACAAGATACAGATTTTATAGCATACAAGTATTCAATATATGTAGATCTTGTTATTAAATTGAAAATTATAGCAATTTGTTGAAATTTGACTTCCACAATTAAGTCTGGCCGATAGGGAGAAATATAAATTAGTGCTAAAGAAATCATTTGTACACATTTAATCAAATAAGACACTATTTTATATATAAAGATATATCATAAACAACATTAAGTAGAATTTTTAGTATAAGCATATAGGTATACACGTATAAATTTAAAAAAAAGTATCACTCTTAATAAATAATTATACATAATATTAATATGAATATAAATGTACTCATATGATTTTGAAAAATCATTTGTACAAATAAATAAGTTTGTACAGAACTTCTAGAATACAAAATAAGCATAATGATACTCGTAATATGGACTCGTATACATATTATACATAAAAGCCTAAACAAATGAATTACAAAATATGAAATACTACATGAAAATAGATTAAATACAATATGGTCAGATAAAATTATATAACTAAAGATTTGAGAAGAAAATTAAAAGATATTAGTTAATTTAAGTGATATTGACTTGGAAGATCATTAATAACTACTAAAGTTAAGTAACGATAATTTTATTGATGAATTTATAAAAACATCAATATGTATAAGTTTAAAATATATATTTTTTTAATATAGTTGTACTAAATACAAGCTATTATTAGTATTTAGGTATACATATTATACTACCCTCCATCATGTGTGTATACGTGTGTTTTAATATTTATAAAAATTTTAAACAGATTAAAAAACGTATGTATGTACAAGGTTACATACATTTTAAAATATCTATATGTCATTTGGTATTTAAAATTTATTTGAGAAAAAATCTGTAATAAATACCTATGTATATATACAACTATGTAGTTGATTTTATATTTTCTTTACTCTTAAAATAGTATTTTATAGTCCTTAAAAGGACTTTTTTTTAATTTTAAGCGAATATTATTTGCGTACGGTCAAATTTATTTATTTTGAACTTGTATATTTAGTAACAGCTTTTGTACCTTCACTTACAGCATGTTTTGCTAGTTCGCCAGGT